CACAGGTGCAATGCAGGGTGGGCTAACAGGTGCAAGAAGCCTTTGAAATCTCCTTTGCCTCTTCTCCTCATCTTCGAAAAAAAAAAAAATTCCTAAAACAGAAGGGATAATGGTGTGGGAGTTTCTTGTTTATTTGCCTTTTTAGAAAGGATTTAGGGGTTAAAATTGATGAAAAGAATAATACAAGTCAGTGTATTTATATTATTAGAGTATCATACCAAGATATCATCATAGAAAAGCTGAATTTTGCCCTCAGAAAATGTCTTTTCAGTTGGGCTAGTCCTTGGGTTGGGTTTGCACAGCAAAAATATGATCCCACTTCCTTGCTCAGTCACAGTGAAGCTGCCTTGAAGCCAATTACTGCCTCCTGGTCACTTGTCACTGCTTGTCAGGAATGAGCATAGAGGGCCAGGAAGATCAAATACACTTATACCCCCTCTAGAAAGCCTTCAGGGCTTTTCCAGCTCTCAGTGTAGCATCTGTGATTTCATCTCAGGTATGTTGCTATTTGATGATCGATATTACCTAGGACAAAGATTTTTTTCCTTTTCCTTTGTCTGATAATGGATCTACCATGATGAAGAAATCTGAAAACAGCCACTGGAGCAGTGGAAATGAGTTTCTGTTCATAGGGGAAGTGTGGTAGTAACTGGAGGCAGCATAGTGTAGCTGTCTGCTTTTTTATGATTTTCAGAGAGAGGTAGACTCATCCTCATGCCAGCTACTAAAGTTCTCCAATGACAGAGCCAGTGGAGTGAGACATGCTGCTCCCGTGCCTCGAGTTATCTTATCAGCCTCTACTCTTGATCCCTGGGATGCAAGGGAATTTCTAGCATAAACCTTAAGCACTCCCACAAGCCACCAAGTCATCTTAAATGCAGAAATTATTAAGCTTCTTAATTTAGAGACTTTATTTCTTAAGCCTGAATCTCTCTCCAGAAAGTGGGTGAGAAAAGTCAAACATTTATTAGTCAATTATCTGAAGGAGTTCAGCTTTGCTGTAAATAACTTTTTTCCTTTCTCATGAATGTTTGCCCACTCTCCGCTCTCCCCATTTTTGGAAAACTTTTCTAGAACTCGAAACTTTAGGAAAAATATAATAATATGTGCAACTGAATAAAGTCTAGAATTCTCATAAAATATACACCTTTCACAGACACAGGCAGGATGATCCCACGACTGATTTACCTTGCAGAACTTCTGTGCCCAAACCTTGGCTCAGTAAATAGGACATTAGACTACGTCACCTCAACTTGTTGGGCAGAACACAATCCATTAATTATTTGGAATAATAATAGGAAATAGCATTCCTGGTCTGAAACTAGTATAGATGGCATCGAAGTATTATTAGTGTGGACATAAAAAATAAATACAGTGAGTGTCACATAAATCCCACCTCTACAACCTTACAGGACACCTTCCTTGAGTTTTATTTTCAACATGGAGTACTGCATATTAAACTTCCAGCAGCAATGTTCACATGTTTTGCTGCTTAGGCCTAGTACAGTATTTTCTTTGCCTTGCTCTTTCACCTTAACTTTCCCTTCTATCTTATTTTTTGCACTTATTGTTCTTCATTTCATTCTTACCTGCACAGATAGTCATCTGACCTAGTTTTATGATATGGATTAAAGTAAATCCCATAATGTAAGTATTCTTGCTCTTCTGTGTAAGTATTCTGCTCTGTCATCTGTGTTTTGCTGGGATTTTGGATACTGGGGCTGGCTTTGGTTGAGAGAGCTTCTGTGTCTCTGAGCCTTACCCCCTAAGTGACTGGGATCATGCTGTAAGCAACTTTGTTCTCTTGCTTCTTGGGTACCCATTATCTCATTGCTTCAAAAGCAGACTTAATTCTTCAACCTCTGAAGATAACTTTGTCTTTAATTATTCAGTCAGAAACTCCCACTGAGGTGAATGGGGGAGGGAAGGTCCCTGAATATTTTAAATCGGAAATGCCTGTTTGAAAGATTTCTGGTTTTGCAGTGTTAACTCACTCTGGGTAAATACACACTTAAATGGGAAAGAAGCAATCTCTTAACATTATTGGGTTAAAAATCCAGCTGAGATTTGTTCTGATGCAAATCCCTCTGCCAGTTCAGCAGTACTGGCAATGTCTAAGAACATTAAGAAGTAAAAGCAAACATGAACATCAAGGAAGAGAAGATCCTTCCTTCTTTTCCATTCTGTGATGATGAATTAAAATTAGAGTGGAAGGAAATCAACAAAGGTTTTTGTTAGCATCCCAGCCCCAGCAAAGTTGTAGGACCACAGGGTGCCTTGGTTCAGGTTTTTATCTGTGCTTTTCTTTGTTTATGAAGCTCTCAACATACTTTTGTCTAACAGCTGGTAATGTGTATGAGCCGACTGCTCAGTGCTGTGGCTGATTTTCCTGCCCTGTCTTGCCCCAAGACTTGCTTACTGATCCATACATTCTATCGTAGGAATGCACCTGAATTTCATCTCTCATTTTCACACTTGCATAGTTTTTCTTTTGCAGGGTAATGGCTGTTATAATTGTTATGTGACATACGGTCCAAGAGGTCTATCCCAAAGTGAAAGTTATATATACATCACATTTGCAGGTATGATTTTCTATTTCTGTTATTTAAGCATGTAGTAATGGGGTTTAACTATTGTTACTACAGGATTTTAAAAAAGAGAACAACTTATAGAAGGCAATGAGTAGGAGTTCTTCACTTAAAACCACAACTTTATGGAAACAACTAGCTGAAACTACAGGAATCTCTGGCTAACAACTGTGACCACACAGCTAAAGAGGTTTTTATTTTCAAGCCTCCAATTAACAATCAAAGACTGAAGAAGTGAGAGTGGTAAAATAAGAAATGAGAGTGTGTGCCTACCTGAAGTGTGATTCCCCTGAAGTGTGACACACTGCACCATACCTTTGTGCTGTTGTGGCAGTGGCTACTGTCCTTGCCATCCAGAGAGTGCCTGGTGCTGTGCTTTTTTCAGTCTCTGGTGCTTGTGAAAGGACTATATACACTGATACACTGTCCCAGGCAAAGCAGTCCTACCAGACAAAGTGTGCCATTGAAATACAGGACAGGTGGCAGGTACAAAAGCCTATGAATACATTATTCACACACCCACACATGGAAAAGAGAGGAAAACTTGGAAGTACTGTTCCCCCAGACATACCCAAAAAGATAAAAACTGCTAATTTCTATCCAAGATTTTTTTTTTTTTAAACTTGAATAGATAATATTACAACAAAGAGCAGCTCTAAAATAAACAGCTCTAGTGTAAGCAGCGAACAAATGGGCAGCATGTATATATTCTCTGAAGAATAACATACAACTACCATTCCTGATCTCCTGAATTTTTTTATCTGAACTCTAGAGCTGAATTTCTGCATGGCTCTGAGCAAGCCACTGTGGGATAGATTTAACCTGCTCTCTGGCTGGCAGTGCTGGGTAGTTATCACCTAGGTGTGAGTGCAGGTTGCTGAGGACAGTGAGGCAGGCATGCCCATCTTTTATCCTAAGGCGAGGGTCATACTCTTCTGCTTGCAGACCAGAGTCCCAAGGGCTTCCAGTCTTTATAGAACTAATAAAGGATTGGTGTATCAGCCTTATTGCTTGCATGTTTTTTATTTCTATGAATGTTTTTTTTATGCTTTGGATTAAAATTACTCCCACCAATAATGTGCATACAATACTTTAAAACAGATGCATTCCCTAGCTTGCACCCATGTTTTCCTATTACCTATGGCTACCAAAATTATTTTATTATTGGTTTGTGGTTATTTGGCTTTGTGGTTAAAGAAGAAAGCCTGGCTTTCCATGTGAAAGATTGCTTTCCTCACAGAGAGCTTGAGTTTTCAGTGTTTTCATGTTACAGTATTCCTGACTGAATGCTTACTCTTTCAAAACCAAGTTTACTTGAATTAATCTGCATACTAGTCCAAATATTACTGTAATCAGCTTTTTTAATTTCAGAAAAAATATTTTCATTTATATTTAGAGAAATTTATTGATACTTGAACATTTCTACTGATGCTAGGAGAGTTCCCAACCTAAAACATATGTCTAAATACTCATACAATTTTTGCTTAAGCAAATATTTTTTCACAGTCAGGCAAAGCTTACTAACCAACATTTACTCAGATCAATATATTTTAATTGAAACTAACGGCACATAGCTTAAACCAACAGTTTTTTCACTGAACTAAGTACATTAAATCAATACATTGCCAAAATCTGTGAGATCTTGCATAAAAGGTATTTTCATTCTTACCTAAATTAGTTTTATTGAAACTTATGCATACTAACAGTAATCAAAAGTACTGACATTCAGATGCTGCTCATGGCATCATTGCATTCAGAAAACTTCAGGCAAACTTACACAAAGCCATATAAAACAAGGAGTTAATTTGCTGTAAGTGAAGAAAGAAAAGGCTCAGGGTTGATTCCTTCTCTTTGCTGCAAGATATTTGTCTAATCTTGGGTGAAGCCCTTAGAGGACCAATTTAGACCTGGACTTTCCCAGCTGATACCAGCAGAGTAAGCCAGGCTCCTCTCTGCTCAGCCATGCTCCACGTGCTGACACCTGGTGCAGGTGACTCAGCACCTCGATTATTCTGGGAGTGCACAAACAACGTGGCCACTTCAACCAAGCAGCTCAAGTTTGGTGAAATCTGTCATTAGTGGCTGATATTTAAAATCTGTCGACACAAGAGAGAATTAGACACCTCGATACCCATGGAGATAAGCACACCTTTTATCTATTCATAGATGTACAGACCAAGGACAGCAGCACTTCTCCAAAGTGTGTCTTCTTTGACTCCAGGCTTTTGGGCTAGGGACCACCTCTGATTTTCTGCTGAGACAACACATCCCAACAGGGTCTCAGTCACAGTTAATATGAAAGCAAGCTGATTGTAAATATAGAATTGGAAGAATTGGTGACTTAAGTGAGAAACTGATAGCATTTACCCATCTGCTGGATTCCTATTTTCAGCAGGAGATACACAAGAGCATAGACACTACTGTGCGTAGGAGCGATGACACAAAGACAACTGTGTGGGATGGAGGCTGGCACACGGTCATCTGTTTTGGTATTCAGTTACAATTACAGCATAATTAGTCTACTAATTGCATGCCCAAGTTTAGTTGATGAATTTGTATTTGTAATTACAGCTTATTGAAATGCACTGTGTTTTCAATGCTTGCCTCTGTTTCCATTTGAGAGTGAAATTTTCTTCTTCCACTCCCCTTGTGTTGATTGCACATGCAGAAATGTAAAAGATGACCATAACCCACGCAGACAAGTATGTCAGACCCTTGCAAAAATAGCAGCCAAACTATAACCATCAATTCTGCAATCCATCTATGGGAGCTCCTGGTCTCAGGTGCAGCTTTGTGGGCTTCAGAGCCAACACTGTGCAGTGTCATGGGCCATCCCTGTTTACAGAATCATGCTGGGGGATGCCAAGCTCCTGCTACTCAAGTTATCACCTGTTGAAAATGGACTTTCAAAAAGCAGCCTCCATTTTCTGCAAATATATTTTTCAGTTCCAGATGCAGAAAATTTTGCAGCTGTCCCAATAACAAACTCTTCCCTGATCTTTTCATGTGAAGTGAGTAAGTTGAAGCCATAAAAGCAATGTAATTTCTTAAACAGAAGTATTTTCTTTCTTAGAATCTACAGGGAAAATACTTCCTTTTCTTCCATTTAGTTTCTCTGTATCCAGCTGAGAAGCATAAGCTAAGTACTAAGGATAGGACTTATCCTTTAAGAAGAATCTTGGATGATACTTTAAACAATGTAAAGCTTTGTTTTTATTTGATAAACCTTCATAAAACCCCCACATTCTTTGAAGTTCTGAAGTGGTTGCCAGGAGTTTCTGTCCCACGAGAAGGTAAGGTGGCAGCCACATGACATATGTGCAGGATTTTATGCATTCTACAAGAGGTTAGAGAGTCTGTCTCACTCTCAGAGAGATGCCACTGTATTTATAAGATGGTCTGTACCAAGGGAGAATCAAACTGAAACTTGCAGCCTGTACATTCTGTAACAGTTTGCTTTAATTAAAGTCAGACATATTCCTAAGCAGAACTCCAGATCAAAACATACTCTTCAAGCTTTGGGGAAAACAGATCATGGAGTAGTATTTTTTTTTTTTTTTTTCCCTAGCTTCCTTTAAAAATAAAAGAATTGATTGCACAAAAACTTGGTGCTGACAACTGGGGAGCTATAGACTAAAAGTTTCTTGAAAACTAAGTAGATGGACCATAGTGTTTCATTTTCTATGTATCTATTCCCCATGATTTATGATTCCCACAGACCAAGATCTGAAAACTCAGGCCAAAATGCTGAAATGAAGAGCAGAGGAAGTAAACAACATTGACATTTCAGAGTAAAACCCTTTCAAGCTCAGTTATCTCTGTTGTTAAGGAAGCTACTGATGTAAGGGAAACTTTTGGAATGAAAGGACAAATAAAAAAACTACCTTTTAGGAGGAGCATGAAGCTGTTGATTTTTCAAGAAACATATTTGATATCTCTACTCTTGCTTTGTTCAGCAGAGATCCGAAAAGTTATTAACTGGAGAAAGAAAACAAAAACAAACCTACAAAAAACCCATCCCAAAAGCCAAACCCCAAAGCTAAACAAACAAATCTCAAACCAAGAGAAAATTTCCACAGATTTCATAGGACAGCACAGTTGACAATTTTCATCTGTATGTGGTTTATTCCTTCTCTGCATATCTTTGGTCAAGAGTGCTTCAAATCTGAGAAAAAATGTTGTCTCATTCAACTACTGTGAAATAGATGAAAGTATCTGAATGAGGAGGCAGGGCTCGTTTTGTCATCTAGCCTTGCCTGCTATACTGTTTAGGTTCCTACACACTTTGGAGTCCTAATTATTCAGCCAGACCATAGACCATATCCTTTAAATAAGTAGCAATATCCATTTAACAAGTTCTTTCACAACTTAACAGTCAAGTGCCATTACCTATTTAACAAGTAAGTTAATTGAGATGTTGCACACAGTGCAATCCCCTTGTAAATTCAATTAATCCCTCACAACCGGCTCAGACTTGCTGCCCTTCAAATACTTGCACAGAGATTTAGAAAAGGTAGTGTATTTAGTGAGGAGATGAAAGGGAGGGAGAGATTTTTTGGCAAGTGTTTGTAAAATGGTCATTATACTTGATAATTTTATGCATTGCATTCCATATGATACTGTCAGCCTGAGCATCGGAGTATCTCATTCAGACACATACAGTTTGCATGTGTCAGCTGATGTTAATTACAGTGGTACTGTGAGGATGGATATATGTAAAAAGCCTTGAGATAGAAAATATGAGTTCAGACTTTGTTAATTATTACTTATTTATTAGGAGGGCTTTGGTTGGTCTGATTTTGTGAGGTTTTGTGGTATCTCTCATTTTTAAGGCAGTCTGTAAGATACAAACTCTCTACCCCACACATAATGAATGTATTCTGTCTTGTTGGTTAGTCCTAAACAAGGGTTGAAAAGAGAGAGATCTTGCTAGTACAGAGAATCAGCACTTTTTAATTACCCTGTTTTGTGGTACAAGGTGGGCTGGTGAGGTGACCTACAGCAGGAAGTCAGCACTTTTTGAGGGAGTACCAGCATATTTTTTCATTTGTTTGCTTCAGCCTTCTATTCTCTTTCAAATGGATCAAGTTTCCTTTCTTTGGATCTTTAACTTTGTCCATTAGTACATCCCCAAAGAGTATTTTGTCAAACAAAGCAAAACACCTTGAAGACAATTCTATGTTTTTTGAGAGTTATAGCCCATACTTTGTTTATGTATAGTGATTATTTATTGAGTTAGCACTCCCAAAAGGCAGATCTGGATACCAGAAAAATGCTTCAGATAATTGCTATCCGGTTTTCTCTCCTGATGTTTTGTGGTATTTTATGCTGTCTTAATGGCATCACCTGAGATTCGTTGGGCACAAAAATATTTTAAACTGTGGCCTGTGATAAATTTTCAGGAAGTGCTTTTCAAATTCTCATACTAGGAAGCTCTGTTGAAAATATTCTTATGGCCAGGTTGTTATTCCGGGTAACATACTAACAAATGGCTATACAAATCTTAGAGCCATAAGAAAGATCGGGGAAAGAGACTGTGATTATTGTAAACCTAACTCCTACATTGAACAAGTGTTTGCATTTAACCCTTCTTTACTGTATTTTGGAAATTAGAAAATAGTTTGCCATGTGATGCTTAGAAATATTTTCTTATGTTAAGTTCTCAGTCAGAGGTTTGCTAAGAATCCCTTCTCTCTCCAAATATTGCTCTCTTTAGGAACCCCGAGAAGGACTCCCGGATTTAGAATATGTTGACGAGAATAAAACCACATTGAAAAACTCAAAGGTCCAATAACACCTAACTCACTTGCACTATAAGCAGATAAATATCAACTATGAAAATGTCAACAGCTACAACTTCAAGAAAGAGAATACTGTATAATTTTCATGTGGCCATGAGAGAGAGTGCTGTCAGCACCTAAGGAAATCAAGAAAGCTTCAGGTATTTTGAGATCTGATGGCCAAGGAAAGCTAGCTCATCTTCTGAGATGGTTTTAGTAAGAACAATGCTGGAATAGCACAGTAGATTATTTAGACACAAAACTGATGCTATCAATGATTTTTCATTACTCTATGCTCTACACGCCTCTTTTGGAACCAATGCTGACCACACAGCTTAGTATAATTGAAAGGCTAAGCTCTGTTTCCATTTGATATTTTTCCTGCTGCTTCAATGCTAATATTCACATACAATAGGAGGAGATAATAATACAAAATCTATATTACTCTCAAAACTATCTTTTGCTGTCTAAATCCATTGTACTCTTTGGGAGCTAGTTAGCTAATTATTAAAACAATATCTAAAAATAATCAACTTCCAGAAAAATTGGCAGGCCAAATTCAGTTCCCATTCATCCCCAGACAACACCAGTGCATTGTAGTGTATGAGGGAGGATTATAGAAAACAGTGTCAAATTATTACTGTTCAATAGTGGATAATTCATGTGTGGCTTGTAGGAAATAGCCTAATGGCTTTACAGACAGCCATTACACTCTTTACCCCCTCTTTATCTTGTTCTTTGCTTGCCTGCTTCAAGCACAGCATGTGCAATAGGAGGACCTGGGTATCCTTGCAAGACCTCTTTCATCTCTCATTGCAGATAGGATCTGGCAAAGAAGGAGTACCACATTATTTTAACACAAAGACAACTGCCACATTATTTCCCCAGTGGCCAATCACCCTGCAGGGGACAAGTTCATCTATATTGTACCTGCTTAACATACTTCATTAACTCCGTCAATTACCAGCTACCTCAGCACCTTTTCTGTTGGCATTACACAATTTATTCTTTCCATGTCCCAAACAGTACCACAGCTCCTACTGCTTCACAATCCAAGTAAAGAGATATTAATCTTAGAAATATGTATTAGAACAATTAAAATAGATTTTCAAGATGGTTTATGGCTTGTTTTCTGATGGTGTTCACCACCTACTACTATTTTTGAATTTTAAATATAAGGGAGAGCTCCCTCTCAGGAGCAGATATACGTCTTTTAGAGGGAACTATAGTTTTCTTTGACAGAGACTTTCCATAGAAGTTCTCCCTGCCAAGTATAGCAGCAAACTTTTCTAGTTTAACATACTCTTTCAAGATAAACTTTAAAGGTAAACAAATAGAGACTTGACTTCAGTCACCTCATTGAGGCTTGCTAGCCTAGGAACTAAGGAGCATATTTACCCTGGGCTTTTTCTTCAGGCATTGGAGACAGACTTGCCATTATGAATAGAAATTCAGCCTACCTGAGCCAAACTATACTCACTGACTTGTGTGAGTCTCTGTTCCCCACCAGAGCCTTAGTTAGGTGTTTTTTCATTGAATGTGTCACTAAGAGTATCCTTGTGACAAGCAGGACTTTTGGTTTTATAGAGACAGTTCAAGAGGCTGGAGTTTCAGGTGGCTGCAATGGCCAGTAGAAAGGTGGGGTTGGATGAGGAGCTAAAATTTGGGGATGGGAGTAAGGTGGCATTAAGATTGGGTCTCTAAACACAGGAACAGGTATGGAACTGGAAGAAGGGGGCTTGAGAGCTCCAGGGCAGCAAAGCTGCAGGACTCTCCTCAGCCAGAAGGTGTAAAACTAGAAAGAGCATTTGTTTGAGCTAGCACTCAGTGTACATAACTGCCTACTTGAATATTAAGCTTTGCTTATGCTAACCAGCTTCAGTGCATGAGCCCAGATCACCAGAGAAAGGTGCTTGGGGGGGAAGTTTGGGTGCAAAAGGGTGGGCACAACTGCACAATTCCACAATTCCCCACCACTGCTGTGGGGCAAGAACAGAAGTACAGGACTGCTCCCCACTTCCCTTCCTCGTCCTCTTCTCTTTCTTTTTTTTTCTTTTCTTTTTTATTTTCCTCTATCTGGAATATGACAGGTTTCTTCAAAGGACACTTTTGAAACTAAGAAAACCTGTATTTTCACAGAAAAAAATCAAACAGTAAATGACCTAATGCCTGCTACAAAGACATCTGATTAAAGCAAATTCAACATACAGTTTAGAACAGACTAGCATCAAACGTTCTGAAAGGGAACAGATGAACCAAGAAAATTGAAAGTCAATGGAAATCCTAAATACCTCCTGATTACATGGAGTTTTCCAAGTCATTTTTCAAAAGGAGCAAGGGACATCTGATCGCTCAGCTCCTGCTCTAATTAGGTTGAAAGGCAAATCCTTCAGAAAAGGGAAGTATGGCTCGAGGTTACCCATTGCAATTGTGGAGTCTGTTGTGAAGTTGTCGGTTTCTGCATGATTCAGCTTTCCAAATGAATATTTCTTCCAACTGAATATTTTTTTTGCTGCATCTCCTTTTCTCTTCATGTTTTCTTTTTTTCTACCTGAATCAGTATGCTTCTTCCAGAGGTAGCTGCTGCATACTTCTGCAGGTATTGATCAGGGCAGTCTCTCTGATCGGCTGGAGAGAAAATGACATTACCTGTCATCTTTTCCCATGCTACAGAATTGTAAAATTCTGTACATGGTTTCAGTACATCAATTAGCTTCAAAATACTATAACTGTATATTAAGAAATAGCAGATACCTATTGCCATATGCTACATTTGTACCTTCACTACCCTTCAAGACACCTCTGGGGGCATTACAGCATTACAAGTACAGTTGGAATGTGTGTATAGCCTAAATATGTAAGGAAGAAGGGTCTCCATAGTGAGGATTGTGTCTGCAACAAATGGACTTTTTTTTTTAACATGTCCTTACTTAATACTGCTGTTTGAGCTAAGATTCTTTTTAATATTGGTAGGAAAATCAGTCAAAGTGAATTCTCTAATTGCAGTAAAAATAAAACCTTGTGATTCTCTGATGTGCCCATAACTTGAATTCTTGAATTAATGCAGGAAGGGTTTAGGGAGTTGCAATACACCAAACTACTTCCACTTCTGTAAAAGCTGTTTGTTCACAGCCAGGTGTAGTAGGTTTTTTTTTTTCCCTTTCTTTTTTTTTCCCTCCCCTTAAATAAAAATGAACGCTGTGCAAACACCAGCTGACTCCTTTTTAATCTGTCAGCACATTCTTTACATCTGTGCATAAACATTATTATCACAAACTCAGAGTGTTACTGCAAAAATTATCAGAGTTCTCAAAATGTACTCTCTGCAGTCTCCATCGGAATACAACTTTAATGAGTTAATGTGAGAACAAGCAAGCTCTAGGAGGAAAAAAAGAAAGGCTTTTCATTTTCACAGAAGGTTAGCCAGGGTTTCCTTCACTATCATGTGTATGCACAGGGTAAATACTTTGTACTTAGTACAGTATTTTCTTCTGACATATAGTTTGCCTCAATAATGTTTCTTATTGTGTTCACTTAAAATACTAACCATTGATGAAAAGACACTGTCTGAGGGAGAATGATACAAGGCATGGCTTGTTTTCAGGGATTTTTAAAGATTACCTTTTAGAATAGAACCTCTAGCTAGGTATTAGTGCGTCTGTATGTAGGAAAAAACCACAGACATATTTTTCATGTTTATAGGGATGACCTTTTATGTTATAGTACAATGCTTTGAAGCACAGTTATTTTAATTGCTTTATATGCCTATTGAGACCATTCTGCATGTCACTTTGTTATATATAGCACCAAGTCACATATGTTTGGTCAATGAATCTTTTGCTGCCTTGATATTTATGTAAAACTCTGAGCAGGAGTTGTGGAAACACTGTACTCTGGATTTTGCTCTTGGTGTTTTTTTGTTGTTTAGGTTTTTTACTGTCACTCTAGCTATATACCTAATGAGGTGACAGGAAGAATTAAAAATGACAGATTGTTTTGGCTGCAGTGGGGCTGTCTGAGCTGTATTTTCCTGTAACACAGCTCAATAAACCCAGCTTGTGGAAAGCCCTGTGCATGTGATTCATGGCTGCAGCAGGTTTGGGTGGAGGTTTGAGGAGGAGCAGGGCTGGGCTGGGCTGCAGGGACGGGCACTTGGCACCCCATGGCGTGGCAGCTCTGGGGTGCACAGAGCTGCTCTGGCACCAGGCTCCCAAAAACAGCTCATCAGCGCCTGTGAGGGCTGGCTATGGCACACTTACTTCTCTCCAAACACTTTGTATCACTGCAGCTTTTGGTCCATAGAGCTTCTGAAGTGTGGTGGCACCTTCTGCAGCCCTGCCCTCGGAGCTGGGGAGCGCTGGGAATGTGGAGGTGGAAAACCAGTGTGGGGATGTGGGGCAGCCTCCGTGTCTGTGCCAATAAACACATCAGCATCCACCTGCCATTTTGCTGCTGTGTTCCTGGTGGAAGAATAAAGGTATAAAGGTATCAGAAGAGATTCCTAGGACAGAATGGTTAACTACAGGTGTTAGACTGATAGCTGGTGTAATTAAGAAAAAAGATCTGTCATTTCACAGACTGTGCAGAATAAATTCCAGATATCCACGCATAATCTTTCAAAGTGCCTTTATCTCCAGAGCCAGAAAGGGTGACCACAGAATACCCTGAACTCAATTATGTACTTTCTGATTATCATATTTTTATTTCTCAAGACACAGGGCTAATAAGAAAGATCAAAAAATGTTTGAACCAGAGTAATTTCAAATGTCAAGAACCAGTTATTCTTACAACATGCTCCCAGGTCTTGGAAATGTAAGCTGTTCTCTGTTTGGTTTGATTCCTCTTGGGGAGTGAAAATGAGGGACTAGGAGATTTAAAGTGACTTTGTACTGTGGAATCAAACCATGCTTTTGAGACCTGCATTTGACACTGGTTTTGAAATGGTTATTTTATTTTATTATTTTATTTTATTTTATTTTATTTTATTTTATTTTATTTTATTTTATTTTATTTTATTTTATTTTATTTTATTTTATTTTATTTTATTATTTTATGTTATGTTATTTTATTTTATTTTTTATTCTATTTTTGGAGTTGGGGACAGTGAAGTGATGTTGGTTTGATTCTTTTTCTTTTCTTTTCTTTTCTTTTCTTTTCTTTTCTTTTCTTTTCTTTTCTTTTCTTTTCTTTTCTTTTCTTTTCTTTTCTTTTCTTTTCTTTTCTTTTCTTTTCTTTTCTTTCATGTTGTTTCCCACACACCAAACTGCAGAGATATTTCAGGGAGTTTCCCTTCAGTTCTTTGGATCAGAATAACCCAGTCAGGTAAGAGTCAGCAGGAAGGATGAATCCAAAATAATAAACCCACATCAGAAATTTACTTTAGGAGGAAAAGGAATGTTCCCAATAAAATGAGTAATAAATGGTGAGGCAAAAGAGGTGTATTTCTCTCCAACAGGAAATAAAAAAAAAAATAATTCTGCTTTCCAAATGATTATTTGAAAAAGGATTCAGAAGGTACCTGACTTTATTCTCCTTACAGTGCCTCACGTTCAAGGAGCAGTGCACATATGGATGTTCAGGAAAACCATGTGGTTCTGCACAGATGATATTCTGCACATATAATTTCCTACAGGGGAGAAAACAGCTTCAGCCTGTAGGTCTCCAGTTTTTGGCAACGAGACATAAAGGTAGCTGTTGTGGTTGGATTTCTTAAGATGCTGAGCAGCCATAAATTCAGGTGAAGCCAGGGGAGCCATACATACCAAGCCCGTGTTATCACAGATGGAGCTGGTTTGGTTCTTTGTTCTCCAACTGGCTCACCAAGAGAAGTGACACAGAGGTGCCAAGTGTTCCACCCTCCCAACCAGGGCTAAAGTGCTGCCTCCATCAGACAGAGGAAGAGGATAATTAAACGCAACAACTCTATAATGAGAATGGCAGCTTTGCTCCAATCAGGGCGTGGGTGAAAAAAAGTAAGTGAGAAAAATTTAATTTGAAGCTTATCCCTAGGCTGGCAATTGAATTCCGTAGTTATTTGGGTCTCTGACAAACCAGCCAGTTCTGGGGAGTAAAAACGAAGATGGAAAAATACTGCAAGTAATCATGCAAAGTAGAATTCTGAGGGTAGCTTCAAGAGAATAAAACAAAACTGTTTTCACTGAGATCAATCATGTTAGTTTCTGTCTTTTTTTTTTTTTTTGTCCTAATTATCAGTGCCAAACAGGAATCACAGATTAGACAGTATTGAAGCTATTTTTAAGTTTAGTTTATTGAAACCTGTTCTTTTCAATGAATCTGCTCAGAAAAAACTTAGCTTTTAGATTCTCTGCTATATTCCTCACACTATCCTGAAAGGAAAGGAGCAGATGTGGATAATTCCTCTCGGGACCAAGATCATTGCAAAGAGTTCAGAGACTCACATGCACACATTAAATTAGGAATTTGAAGGTGGGGTGGAGGGGATCTATTTCTTGATTATGCAAAAAATATGCTGCTCAGGGTTTTTTCCCCAAAACTCTTTGGATTTGGGAGTCCTTTTCTCATTGTGCTGGGATGACAGGCTAAAGACTCCTTTTGCACTAATGTCATTTGAATCTGGGTATGGTTTTAGGAAATTACATGCCTGGGCATTTAGATTAAAGTTTCATCCAGAAAATGCTGTATCAGGGTGAGGAGGGATTTTGGACCATGCCTCCTGGCAAGGTGGCAACCCAGGTAAAATTTCTCATGACAGCTGGCCATGGTCTGTCTGACAGGCATTTTGTGTGGGAGGGAGAAGAAGAAGGATCAGGAAAAGTGGAATGTATTCTTTGAAGGTTATTTGTTTTAATCTCAGTTTAATCTACTCTAGGCTTAATAAGAAGAGCTTGGGAAATAAAAGGTATTAGAAAGGGAGAAGAGAAAGACAGGCAGAGAGAAAAATATGCTGAGACATATTGGAGAACTGTGGAAAATATGAAGATGACAATTAGACCTGATCCAAAATATAAAGCAAGCATAGAAAATTGCAAAGTGATACAAAATAGGATACAAGAAAGGCAGATAGAAAAAATTCTGAATTACCAGAATTACATGTTATATGCTTCTATGCTCTTCTATGTGTGTAAATGTGTTTAATCTCTTCACATCCATAAAATGCCCACATTTTTCAAAAATACACTTTTAAGAAGCTGTGGTACACTAAATGCTAACCTTCATTTGTGGTTGTGCTCTAAGAGAATGATTCTTTGTCTCTGTTACTTGTTATGACAGTCAAATAATAGTGGATCTGTGGAATGAGCCAGTGCGCATTAAAGATCCATTGACAGCTTTATACACATTTCAGTCAGATCTGCCCTGAAAAGTTGTAGTCCAGCCCTGTGGGCTGAATGGTCGTTCCCAGTTGGAGTGCACAGTGTGTTCTTGCAGGGTCTATCTCCCTCTTTAGTGTCTTATGAATAAAGCTGGCTTGAGTGATCCAGACCTGCTGAATGTTGTAACCCAGTGAGGCACAGTAAGTGGTAATGGCAAGACTCACATGCCAATGTAGACTTTCTACAAGAAGGTAAATGAACATCTGTCCCTTTCCAGGGTACAGCTTGTAGAGCTGTCAGTAAACCCCAAATTCTGTGGTTTTGTACAAAGCTACTTCATGTCACATCTTGACACTTATTCAGGATCTACATTATGCTTGTGTAGCATAGGTTCCAAAAGGTTTGTGTATTATTAATGAGATAGTGGAAATGCTCTAGAATCAGCTTTCATCTAAATGAAGGTGATGATGTTTATCTGTACCCTTTGTATTCATTGTTGTCTTGAGTGCACAGTGCTTCCTGCTGGTATCTGTGTTTTTCATTTGCTGACTAATCTCTTCACCTGATCAGTATTGATTGTAACTCTCAATCCATAACCTTTAGGCACAGTGACATTATGGTTAAATAAAACACAGATGTAAAAATAATTAACAAAGTCTGCAGCAAAACCTATATTTTACAACTAGAAGCAGTATTTTTAGAGAAAAGTGTAAATGGAAGATGATACACAATTTTTTGATCCTTAATGTAGATTACTTAAGAAGAAATAGTAAGTTACCTTGTGGAAATCAACAGCTTCTTCAATTGGATTGCTTCTGTCACTGCATGGACACAGTCTTGTTTGATGTCCTCCTACCATTTGTCTTGCATGGAGTCTTTTATCTAAATCCAAAGCAATGCAGTCATCACTGCTGCAATTCAATAATGGCTCCACAGGAGCTGTCATCCCCAGTTTGCTATTCATCTTATAAAGCCTTTGAGTTTTCAAAGTATCCACTAAAGTTGGTATTTCAATGCTGTGGACAGATCACTTAAGGTTCTTTTGTATTTTCAAAACAGGTTTCAATTGAGGACGGACAGATATTGAAATGCCCAACTTATTGTACCTAGGTGCCAAAGGAGATGATGGAAATGTCAAAAGGTAATTGGACAATCACACCCACCTCCCAGCTGAAAATGTGTGACTATGTGAGCTTGAATGATGCTTTGACTCAATAGTGGCATTGCCTGTGGGGAATGAGCCCCTTGGAACAAAGGGGAAAAAAGACAAAGAGAGGAAAAAAAATTTGAATTGGCTACTAGCAGCCTCAGGAAGTGAAAATTATTATGTGATAACATGAAATACAAGGCAAGAGAGAACTTACATAAATTTCTTCTCAAGTATAAGATTCCCTTTATTCCATTTGATATAGACTTAGAAAGCAGGGGTCATTTTGGACTTGAAAGTTAGTGTGTGAAGGAACTCACATTTATCATTATTCATGACCCTGGATGTAGGTAGCTGGATTTCCAGCACTCTTCTGAGGTTTAGGTGGGAGTTTGGGGGGTTGTTTTTGGTTGGGATTTTCTTGCAGATGCCATTTTAGCTGGACCAGTGTGAACATGTATTTTAGCTGTTAGTCTTTTGCTTGTTTGTTTGTTTTCAGCAAAAGCATAACCATCTTTGGGCAGTAATCTGAAATAATTTAGTACAGAAAAAGAGACTGAGTGTATTATTTGAAAGTGAGAATTAGCTTGGGTAAGAAAGCAGTATTCTTACCTGAGCTCAAGTTTAGCTAGGATGCTAAATTTATATATAGTCTTTTCTTACCAGAAATACCAGTTTACTCAGTTTACTGTACAGAGATTGGAGTTTTACCTGAAGAAAATAGTCTCTGTGGGAATAACTCACATTGAAAGTACTGAAGGAAAAAAGCTTCCACTGTCAGAACCAATGCTACTTCTATAAGCACCAAATCCATCTGTATTGAAAAACAGAAAAATATTTCACTTAAGATTTCCTAAATCCAACCCAATGAATTTATGAGATTGCCTTCATTTCAGGGCTGTTTGGCACAACTAGAGTACGTTTTCCCCCTCTGCCCTTCTGGGGACAAGTAACATAAATTGCTGACTGTGTGGTTTCCCTGAGTACTGCTACGTTCAGTGGTCTGCAAGAGTATTGGAACATGTCCATACAGAAGAGTTTGCCTTGTCCCCACCCTCTGGGACAGGAGAGGTGCAGATGAATGATTTGGAGGCACTGTCTGAGCTGCTGACCAGTTCTGACCTTGACAGTCCTAGTGCTGCCAGGGAAATCTGCAGGCTTGTGCCAGAGTCCTGTATCGATCAGCAGAGGTCCTGGGAGGCTCTGCAGACGCAGCTCAGAGTGGGAAGGATTTCTTAACACAATCGAAATATAGTCTGCCTCTGCCTCTGTATTTTGCTGTCTCCCTTCCCTGAGCTAAATCGTACCAATTTCTCTGCCCAGAGCTCATCGCAGCAGCAGAACCATGACTCACCTGGTAGTTTCTGAGACAGCTAGGCATTCCCCTCTAAATCTCTTCATCCCCTTCAGCCTATTTTTAAATGCTTGGCTGCTATTCTTAAGTGCTGGTATTGAACAAAATGTAAATATAGCGCAACCTCTGGTTTTAACCTTGGCCTTGATCCACTTTTATTCTAGTTAAATGTAATAAACAACAAAGGTAACATAAAGATGTATATTTTTTTTAAAAAAAAAAATGTTTATAATTCTTTAAAATACATGAGTCAGCTAAGCATTTAAAAGTAAAATATAGATATAAAATTATTCAGACAGGGTGATATAATATAGAATTTAAATTGAGCATATTTTAGCAGCACTGGGAAACTTTACCCCAGAGCTAATAATGTAATAGATCTATCTCACCAACATCTTGGAACTTGCAACACAGTTTTATCCACAAAGGAGAGTTCTCTGGCCTACTTTATTAAATACCTTAGAGGACGTTGCCTGTAAGATTACATATGAACAATGCAATTTATTAAAATCCCTGTTCTTACTTTTCCTGTTGAAATTTTAGACAGTTTCTTTAAAAAAAAAAAAAACAAAACAAAAACCCCCAAATGACAAAGTATAAACAAATCCAACAGACTAAATAAACATAATTCAACAAATGTTTTATCAAACAGGTATATAGGGAAAACATCCTATAATTTACTTTTTGCCCTCACTTGTAAACTCATATTGTATCTCTTTTGCTATGCTGCATTGAGCAAATTATATTCCTCACCAAGAGTATTTTTTTCAAACCTGAAGCAGAACTGTGGATATAACTGAAAAGTTACCCTTTAAGGACAGTCTTAATAAATAAAAATTAGTCAAATTGAAACACTCTTGCTATTTCTTATAAATGGAAAACACTCAACTTTGTTTAACAAATCTTAATGTGCCAAATACAAGTCATTGCAAAAGGATGCAAACAAAGCTTGAAGCTACATCATCTTATAATTTACTTGGGATGGATATGGATATTTTGGTGACTCTTATTTAGAAATGGTTTACATTAACACACCACTGTTGGAGGTGTAAGTATTTAAATCTATTCACTAAATAGGATTTTACATGAAGTCAGAGAACTCAATACAGTGATGCTAATTTATATGTATATCTGAGGTTTCTGCTTAGATTCAGTTACACATTCCACCATTTACCTTGGAGTTTTTATGTAATTCTGTTTGATCTGAGAATTTAAGATCATTCCACTTAGTGGAAGATGCTAGATATTCAACAATAATAATTACTATTTTAAAATTAGGCCATTTATGTAAGTAGTAGGTTGCAGAGCTGGCAATTAATGCTAGGCAGCCATTTTTGCAAAGTGGTATAAAGAATATACCCAAATTACTTCATTTCCCTTCTCTGGTGTTGCCTACCTGCTGAGATCATAAAAGAAAAAATTGACACATGTGAAAAACTTAGAAGTCTGACCTGGAGAAGAAAAGAAGGAAATTTATACAACTCACTAGGCAATGCCAAAATCCTAATGCAGACAAGTAAACTGTCACAACAAAAACACCTAATTAACCTGTAACTCCTTCCCTGTATGTATATATGTGCTAATGTGATAAAGGACTCTACCATGAAAAAGCAATGAAACAAATAAATTTTCCATGAGTTTCCAATTTAGAAAGAGAGAGGAAGGTATTTGACCTGACATTAATAACATTCATTTACCAGTATCTGATGTGGGGGGAAAAACCTCAAAGTAAAACCCATGAACTCAAGACATGAAGAAATGGATGCACATGTGTGCATGTGTGTGGGCAGTGTGTTCAGGGAGAGGGGGTTAATTATGAAGGAAGACAGTCAAAAAGTAAGTGTGGCTTAGAAGGCCACATAAATGTCTATACCAAAGAAAGCCACAAAAGAATATTTAACTTGGAAATAATAAAAAAATGCTGGAATTTCTTGTACAGGAATTTATTTGATTGATAAGAGTTATACAATTCAAAACTGGGGCAAGACAGTGTTTTAAAATAATATCCCAGGGTAATGAAATGGGACAGTTTCATAGCCTGCAGTTGAAGAGGAAACCTTGTACACACACTCACAGACATACAAAATCAATGCACATGCAGACACAATTATTTTGTAACTATGATTTACTCTATCTTTCTTTTTTTTTTGCACATTTCCCAGACCAAGGATATCCTTGCCTCTTTCAGAAGTGAAACTCAGGTTTCATATTCTTATAAGTTCCAAAGCTGGAACATGCATTTTGCTTCTGGCACTACCTCTGTGCACAGGGCCCATTGAAACAACAATGACTCCTGAGGTCAACAGCACCATCAGGCCCTGGGGTGACCCATTTGCTCTGTCCTTTCTCTGGATATTTTTCTGTATCATTGTACATCTCCTTTCTCTGGATATTTTTCTATATCACTGGCAGTAGAACACAACTGTCCCTCTTGCTCTCAGTGCCATGTGCAAAAAGTCAGATACACTAAATATTGGGTCTTGGAGCAGGAGCATTCTGTCTCTGGACTGGAGCCAGGAAGAGTATCTCTTAAGTGGGACATAGGACAAAAGTAGCTCCTTTACAAAGTACAGGTCTCTACTATATTGTTTTTTCTGCCTGGCTTTTTGTTCCTGGACCATTTTACTCTGCAACCTACAGTTGCTTGACAAAGGGTCTATACAGAAAGCAGGTTGCAGGACTTTGCCATTGTTTTCTGAATCTACACAAAAGCCAAGCAAAATATTAATGAATTGTATTGTTGGCATACATGGTATTCATCTCATTGTCTGACAGATTTCCACAGATGCTGGCAAATAGACATAAAATAAAATCAGCTTGTTTGTGGTCATTAATCTGATGTTACACCTTCAGGTACTGATAAACCGTGAGAGTGCAAAAATGCCTTGTTTGTGAAAAAACACTCAGTACAGAAAGATCAGGTATAATCTAGATTTTTTGTGATGTACAATGCTGCAGAAGCAGAAAACCTGCAAGAGTTACTGTTTTTCTGGCATATGCCATAAAGCATGATTTCAGACCATCTCCTTGTGCCCAAAAATGCCCATAACATCACTGGTGACACTCACAGCTTCCCACTGCCCCTGTCCAAGGCTTCCATTGCATGTACAGCTGCCCACATCCAGGCTGCTGCTCCAGCTTTATCATTGCTTACAATGCACACACATTCCCTCTCAGCCCCAACTGTAATATTTACACAACAGATTGGATTAGAATATTTCCTGGGAGCCTGCTATGAATACCTCTTCAGATAATTTTTGTGGAAAAACTTTTGTTTGCTGATTAGCTAGATAATAGCCTTCAGTTCAGTATTTTGGTGTGAGGTTTTCCAGAGACTGAAAAGGTGGTGGAGAATGCATACACCTACATGAGGTGACTCCACAATGGAATATTCCCTCTGCACTCTGAAGTGCCAAAGCAGAAGTCAGCTCTAGGGCAGGAGCTGTGTAACTGCGCTGGTGCGGTACTGAGCTCGAGACAAAAGGTCCTGCTAAAGATGTTGTAAGGTAATGAATGCAGACCTTATCCTTTTAGATTTAAAACATAACTTTTTAAATAATACAAGCCAAAGAAGAAAGTGAAAATGATAGACTTGCCCTTCAGTCGTGTTGTAAATTTTATACGTGACTGAACTTGGAGCACTATTTGCAATTCCTTCTATTTCTTGGCAGTTGCTTCTTGACTCTTAAAGGTCTGCTTCTAGTCTCAGGTCTTAGATTTAATTGTTTGTAATTATAATTATCCTCATCTTCCTGTGTGTTCATGAAGCCAGGAACACCTCTGATCACAGAAAACTCCTACAAAAAGATAATTATATTTTCAAGGAAATGGATAAAGGAAAAAAACCTACTCCCAAGATGAAACCTTGTGCAGTCTTGAGTAAATGATAAATTGGGGGTTAATACCAGGGGAAATAATGTCAGATTTTAACAAGACTGGTGAAGCACAAGGAATTTAATACAGGAAGGCTATATGTAAAAAAAACCCCACCAAAATCAACTGAACAATCAAAACAAAACAACCAACAAAACCTAAAATCCTGTGTTTGAGACAAGTGTCCTGATTTGTTGCCTGAAATTCACCCAAGTGCAGAGGCACCTGTCCAAAGCCTCTACAAAATCTCTTATTTCCAAAGCTTATGCAACATCCAAGCAGTGCCCAGCCTTTATGCATGTCTCTGGGAGAAAACTACGGAGGTTTGCAATTGCCTTTAGTGGCAGCAGAACTGTGACATTTTAAAAACACGTATTACGTTTTCCCCTGCAAACTCTCTCTATAAAATGTATCAACTGGTTCAAATCATCTTCTTTTTTCTGTCCTCTCACAGGTCCTGCAAGGGAACCCATGCTGAAAATCATGTTTCCAGCACAGAGAAAATTAAAATATACTTAGGGTGCTTTCAGGGAATTTTTTTTAGTCACCAGGTAGCTTTAGGTTATTTGATCAGCTACACCTGGATCTTGTCTTGATGCAAAAACTTAAACAAATATTTTTGTCAGCAGAGAAGATGCCTCCAGTAACAAAAGGCACATTTGATGCGTGCTTTTTTTCCTCTATGTTTCAATTTTCTGTGTCAAATCCATACAGTCAGAAGATCTGGATATCCTTTCTTCAGATTTTCAGCTAACTGCAGTGTGTAAAATAATGCCATGCCAAGATTATCTGTACTGAAGATATGGTATGATGAAAGCTGGTTCTGTAAAAAGATTTCTTAGGAAAGGCACTCTGCAAACTTTAACAGATCTCTAGAACATCCTGTGTCAAACACAGCGTGCTGAGATTTTGTCCCCCCCTCCCAAAATATGGCTACTGTTAACTGAGTGGTAATTTCAGTGTCTTCTCTTTCATCAGCTGAATGTCAAGATGATGTCTATATTTCATGTACATCAAGTGAATGGGGAAATTTTCTCTGTGGATATCTTTTCTGCTTTTTAATAAATTCTTTCTTTTGCCTGAAGAGAATTAGAAGCTGGCTTTTGACCTCCATTAATTTTTTTTAATTTACTATTTCTCTGCATGCATTAAGAAATATTATTAACCATACTTTGCACTGCAACATTTCCATTTCCTTCTCTGACGCTTTCTCATTTGCTGCAGCAGGTGCCCCGTTAAGAATAGATTAGGAAAAGCAAAGGGAATAATAAATAGAAGAAGTCTGGGCCAATATTCCATGTCTTCCCCAAATACAAAGACAGTGTTAGTATGTCTCAGTCTACCAGGCTGCTTTATAACTGACTGCTTCTCAAAGCAAAGCTATAATTATGAACTCAGGGTTGTTCGACAGCTTTTTAAAGGCAAACAGCACCGTTTAAAATCCTGTAAGTTAAAAGTGGTCAGAAGTGTTTTCTGACTGTGGTATCCCGGGCAGCTATTGCCCGTGCAGATGTTCAGGCAGGCTGTGCCCGCTTCAATCACCTTGGTTTCTGCAGGGATGCTTCCAGCGCCAGGTAAAGTCCCTTTAAGTGGCATCCTCAAAATCCTGCCTTTCATATCACAATCCTTGCAGCACGTCTTCCGAATTATCCCCTAATGAGCAATCCAGCTCCAAAGGTGGAAGCGACTGTAAGCTTTGAGCACATCCTGAAGTCAAGCTGTATTTACCACCGCGGAATGGCAGCGCAAGCCGCCGGGCTCGGCGCCTTCCTGCGGGCTTTGCGAAGCGGGCAGCTCACGCAGGTGCGGCGGCAGCGTGCTCCTTCGGTGGAGAGGTGAATGAGCGGTGTGCCTGCGGAGGACGGCTGTGGGCGGCGGGGCGAGGAGGCGATGCGGGCCCAGGAGCAGGCGGGCAGGCAGAAGGAACAACTGGCCCCTCTAGCGGGGCGCGGGAGCGCTGCAGCCGGGCCGGGACACAGCCCGCCGCGCCGGCCCCCGCAACCTTCCCCGCCCCAACGCCTGCCAAACCAGCGCCGGCCTCTGCGATGATCGACAGAAAAGATAAAATAAAAAGAGCCAACCCTCCTACTTTTCACTCCCTTTGTGCTTCGCAAGGCACGGCGTCTATTTTGCCCCTTCCTCCTTGTCAATGCCTGCTCTTTTCTCTAGAGGCTGTACGAGTATTGTACGATTCCAAGTACGGCTATTGGCATTTCACAAAGAACCTGGAATAAAAAGTAAAAGGAATATGCCCCTAGCCATGCAAAAAGACAATTGCTGCTTCTGGTACAATATACATCAATGATTTTAATCTCTCTCTCTCTCTCTCTCTCTCTCTCTCTAATTTTATTTTTTTATTATTCTACATATTTCTTTATGTTATTCTGCATATTTTCAGGTAAAGGATACTGGGTGACAAAATTGAACCCTCTGGCAACAAGCTTGCCCGCTCTTAGTTTTCTGGGCCCCCTCAGAAGCAATCCATGGGCTGAAAATCCCTATTTACATTTTACTACATAGATTGTTTGGATTCAGATAGTTAATGACTGGGAAATAATAAAAAAGTATTTAATGGAATTCAACAACAATAAAGGATAATTTTGCATGAAAGTTTTTATAAAGGTTATTGTCTGAGAAAATGGGTTCAGGGTACTTTTCCATAGAAGAAATGGAAAATACAGAAATTAATAAACTAAGGAAGTGAAAATCATGCACAGAATGAACACAACCCTTGCCTTTTTTTTCAAAAATCTCTTTCATTCTGTTCCTTCCTGGAACTCCTTTTTTTAATTTGTCACCACTGGCTTTGCCCACATCCTTCAGCATTTAAACACATGTTTTTCATTCAGTGCTCCTCCAACATTTTCCTTGGCATTAGGTAAAGCTAGAGAAACTAACATCACTAGCTAAAAAGCTAAAAAAATAGGAAATAACTTTGCTCACACCAGAGAAACTTGCATCAAAACAAGTACTACACACAGGCTTCTCCAAAATAAAAAGCCTTGTTTTACCTGACCAGCAAAACAGCCCATAGGTTTTCACATCAGTTTTGTTGGCTGGCTCAAGAGCATATCTCAATCAGACACTTATGGGTTTTTGGTCCTATTGTGGCTATTTAAGAATAACATTTTTCAAAGATTGTGAAATACAATGACAAAAGGCAGTGAATCTACTCTTATGACAAAACTTACGTGTAACAAATTATCCCCTAAGAGCTGGTACTAAAGCCAGCTTAGGCTTCCAGAAAACACAAAATAAAGGCATTCAATGTTCATTAAAGTGTCTGCTTCAGCCTTGTAATATGCAGTTTGTGAACAAAATTTTATTTCCCCTTCATTGAACTCAGAGCAGGACACAGGGAAACTGGAGGCATCTGAAGCCTGTAGAATGCTTAATTTTTATAGACTTTTGTAAACTCAAAATGATCTGTTAGTAATAAACTTGCTCCAAAATGCATCCAGTAGATGCCTGTTACTGGAGCACCTCTTCAGGAGCAACAGCATATGTCATGGCTCGTTCTGTACACAGGGGCCTTCTGAAGAAGGAAAAACTGGAAGAATGAAATACTAAAGCCAGTTATTTGTCAGATTAGCCAGAGAAAAATTTGGGGTTGCAAGACAATGAATATGAAGTAAAAATAATGAGAATTCCCAAGAGACATGAATACAGAAAGGGATGTGGTTTGACAAACAGATGAGTACATATCTGAACAGGGGAATGGCATAAATTTAGTGATCTAATAGATCTGATTCAACCCAGACTTCAGTGATCTATTTTGCTGTGTCTATCCCAAATGTTTAAGGGGACACACACACATACACACACACACATACACACACAAACATGTGAAAGTGTCTTCTAAGAAGAGGGGTGTTACAAAAAATTTCAAATCTGAATGCAGGTTTATGTATTAGTCCACTTAACCATTTATATTTCCCCATTTGATTTTGTCCTTAAGTTTTGTTTATGCCAGAGAATATACACATGAATGGTCTGTGATTTTCCCATTGACACTAAGGTCATGATGGTCTCCCCTGAAATGACTGTCACATACTCTTTTTTTACAAATCACATTATGAGAAACTGTAATGATGCTTTTTAAGATGTCATGGTATGATATGTTAACAAGTATCTTGGCAAATCTAAATGGCAGTGTCACTGGCAAGATACTTCATAACAGCAACCCTGTATTGTCAGAGCATGCATCCTTCCTTCCTTCCTTCCTTCCTTCCTTCCTTCCTTCCTTCCTTCCTTCCTTCCTTCCTTCCTTCCTT